TTTCAAGTGCCCTAGAGGTCATCATTGAATTGGTTTCAGTTCCCAAACCATTACACCAAACATCTTTAAGACATATCCCCAAGCACCTGGCTAGTTGATTAAACTAAATGCATGGCCATATAATTATATGAGGAAACCATATCACAATAAGTTATGATAAAGGGAAAGCATAAGTAATTACCAAAAAAAGAAAAAGTAAGAGTCATAATATATATACTAAGCAAGGACATGTGACAATGGTGGAGTCAAGGAGGAACTAGGGTGGGTAAACACCTTCTCTCTAAGTTTATACAAATATTTGTCTTAGGTCACATTCAGACCTAACAGAAAGTTAGTATAACATAAATTTTCCCTCCTCAAACTCAGCCTTACAATTTTTATTCTTATTATTCCTTATGGAAGAAAATTTGAATTTTTTTTTTAAAAGTTTACTATGTATTAAACTATATACTTTCTATTGTGGGTTACCATGCCTAAATTGTGTTACCATTTGCCCCATCTCATACAATTATCTAGCTCCACCCATTTACAGGACCAATGAAAAGGGCGATTGCCAACACTGGCCACTAGCCTAGTCCATGGTGCTCGATCATACTTGACAAAGTTGGTGGGGGTGGGAATCGAGATTTTCGTTTCCAAAGACAAATCTTGCGTTTTTAAGGGAATTTTGACAACCGCTTTGGGAAACAAGTGGATGTAATTGATAACTTTTGGACTTCACAGCTCAATCCTATCCCAAGGATAAAAAAATAATTACATTTTATTTATATAATAAAACAATTAAGCAATTAAATAATATCCTTTGAGAAATGGGTCATTGTCCTAGCATGGAGAAGAATTTTGGTGGTGACGGACGACTATTAATTCAGTGGAATGAGACAATTATTGAAGAGAGAAGAGAGAAAAAAAATAAAAAATAAACTTTTGTACAAATGTATTCACTGAATGGAAGGATCACATAGAGTCAAGAGTACCAAAAAAATTTTCCCCTAGCCTGAGCTTTGCATGGAGGCCTGCATAGCCTACGCCCTACGCTTGCCTTGCCAACCAGTAGAGAAAACTAATCCAAACGTGCATGGATGGAGCTACAAATAAATATTGGGTCGCAAACTAGGAAACACAAATACATTTATGAAATACAAATACGACACAACACAGATATATAAAATGAGATAAATTTTAAAAATTATAAATGCGAGACAGTTAAAATATAATATATAAAATTAATATAATATTAACACAAAAATGTAAATCTTAAATTAAAATAAAGATGTTCATTTTTACAATTTAATATTGTATTCAACTAATTATCATGATATTTTATTTGTATTGATACGAAATGTAAAAAAATTTAAAAAAATATATTAAAAGAGACCAAAGTATTTTATAAATAGCGTACGACACTGTGCATATTTTTCTAATACTGATACAATATAGGGAAAGAATATTGTAACAACCAAGTTGTGTTACTACCAAGTTGTGTTACTACCAAGTTAGTACCAATCTCCTAATATTTTCTTCTATAATATCAATTTCTCTGTTTTAGGAAAAGCGTTTTCTTTGGATTCCCTTTGATCTGCATGGCAATATATATGGCCCACAAGTCTAAGTGAATAAGGAAATCAAATTTGACAGATAGTTATCAATTTAAGGAAAAAATTAACCATGTAAAAAAAAAAAACCGTCCTTGTTGTCTTCCATCATCTCCACACAGCGTATGGACATCTACGGAATTTGCATGCTATTTATGAACTTTATATCATCGGTGTTATTATGAGCATGTTTGACATTTTTAAAAAAAAACTATTTTTAAGTTAAAGTTAAAAAAAAACTTAAAAAAAATAAATTAAAAGCTATTTGATAATTATATAAAGTTGTTATGATGATTTTGAAGGAGGAAAGATGAAATAATTTGTTATTATGATGGATTATTATGGTAAAAGATAAAATTTGTAAATACGATTTTGGAATAAAGATAAAACTGTAAAATAAATATAAGAACTCCAAAAAATTAATTTATATCTGAAAAAAAAACTCTAACTAATTTTTTTTAATTTTTTAATTTTTATTGTAAAAAAGTTCTTTTTATAATGAGAGTTTTTATAAAATTATATTTGGTTAAACTTATATTTTTAAGAAAAAGAAGCTAAAAAAATGCAATAAATTTTCACTCTAAAATAAGCTAAAGCATAATGGGCTAAACACAATGAATTGTCGTCAACAAGCATTTGGGTACAAACAAATTCCACTAAAAAGGGCTCAAATTCAAAACAAGATGAAGAACGATTAAATAAAGCCCACTTTCTCTAGCCAATAAGCTTACTACACCTGATCTAGTTGTCCTCCAATTAGGCGCCAATTTTCTGGTAGGCTCAAACCATTTTTCTTAGATGTCAGGTGCTAGATTCTCCGGAACAGTACTCATGTGGTGAATTGAATCCCCGAGTGTTATGTGGACCATACACTTTAAAAAAGATGTACAGAAACAAAACTGGACATAGTGCCACAAATCCTTATTCAAATCGACATGGTACTGGTACAATCTAGTACAGCAATGAAAAGACATGTCACGTGTCCGCACCCTGCATGGCTTGTGGAGATTTTCACTAGATTATTACTAATTTTTTTCACTGTCCTTCTACAGCACCTTAACAAAACAGGAAAGGGAGAGTTTCTATCACATCATGTCCTTCTTAATATGAAATATGAATTATTGAAACCACTTGCAACATTTTTCTTGTACAATGGACGGACAACATTGGCAAAGGCATACACTATTCGCTGGCTTTGGCTACATGCATTTTTTTTTTGGATTTTCGAAAAATTGGTAAAATTTTATTTACTTACTTTTGGTAGAAAATTTTTGAAATTTTTTCGAGAATTTAATTTGAAAACAAATTGTATAGTAAAATGACATCCAATAATACCACCAGGAATTTAGGGTGTTGAAAAAGTTTGACATTTCCAATAATATTTAGGGTTCACTTTTTCTATAGTTATTGTAGATAAGTTATCTGCAGTAAGTCCAATATGACGTTATTTTGGAGCAAAAATCATGATATTTTTGTAATTTTAATTTATTTCAGGGTTATTATAGTCTTTATAATTATTATTTTTTAATTTCAAAATGACGTCGTTTTAGAAGTAAATGCAAATAACTTATCTGCATTTACTGCATAAATATTTTTCTATTATTTAATAATCAACCAAACATAGAATCAGTAAATTTAAGTCAATATTCTCAATAATATTTTTGCCTACCAAATAATTTTTTTGTCACATCTTCAAAAAATTCATTTTTCCAACATATTCTTCGGAATCATAATTTCCGAAAAAAAAAAAAAAATTTCTGTATCAAAATGTCCTCTGTTGTGAACAGGAACTATATTAAAAGCCCGCAAGATTTGGAAATTCAAGTCAAATAATAATAATGATGATTTGATAGAGTTATGACTTACAAGGTGCGGGCTACGACATAACAAGAAATTCAAGTCAGGTTCAGACTGTAGGGGCTCACATTGGGACAGAGAATTTTGTACTAGATCGGGTGTCCAATTTGGAGGTGGTGAATTTCAATATGAGATCTTGGAGTTGAACTCTCACAAACTATCTTAGATTTCCGCATGCTTACTTTCCACATCACCCCGTTGTCCAGTTCATCTCATCGTTCAAGAAAATCTACTCATCGATCATTCAGAAATTCACTTTTGGTAATATACTTGTAACTAGGTCGTTGATCTTTAACTATCTACAACGATCATACAACTTAGGACTTGCTAATTCTCAGTGATGATAATTGTACATTTTATAAAGTAAATTACCTTTCTTAAGTTCTTTTTAAAAGCATTATAATTTTAGTCCGTACCAAAAAATTAAAAAAACTTGTACCATTTTTTGAAAACCAATCAATCAGTACTAAGGTCTCAACATGCCTCCACCACTGAATGATTCTCAGCCTAGTTCAAGTATTGGTGGGAGGATTGATAACGACAGAGCCAACCGAATAGATCAGGCTGTCGTGTCCATGCAAAACTACAAAAAGACACCTCATTTGTATCCGACTTTATGCGATGTGGTACAAACTTGACATATATAAGATCAATTTATTGCACACCATATCCATTAGAAACAACTAATAAGAAAACAGAAGAACATGCATACATGTTTTACTTTTATTAGAAGGAAACTCTAACTTACAGGCAAGTTACACTTCGAGAATAAACTTTTATCCATATCCAAAACTAAACTTTTTTATTTTTTTTTTTGTATTAAAAAAAAAAAGTTTAGTTTTGGAGACGATATTTGTTAAAGAAGCTTAACCATATCATTCCGTATTAAAAAGGATTAAAACCCCGTCTCAAAGGGTGTGGAAATATATTGGGGAAAAAACCGCTAACCTATTTCCTTGCTTTTTTTTTTTTTTGGAAATTAACCTATTTCCTTGCTTGTACAGTTGTACGTCTCCTTAAGTTCAATATATATATATATATATATATATATATATATATATATATATATACTTTTCCCATAGAAAGGGTGGGAAAAAAAAAAAAGCTAAGACAGCTTATATGAATACAACTCACACGAATCATTTGTGAGAGGAAAGTTGTTAAGTAAATTACTAAAACAAACATCGATTTCTTAGTTTCCAAAGAGGGTGGTGGGAGAAAAATATGAAATAAAGAAATAACCGGGCTCGGGGAAAAATAAAGGTGAATATAAACAAATTATTCCAAAGAAAAAAAAATCCATTCAATGTGACCAATCAAAACGCCTTGAAATGGTTTGATATGATTAAGTATCCACAACGAAAATCGAATTGATAACCAAATTTTTTGATTAATTTACTAAAAAAAAATGTGATTAGTAATAGGAAAAAGTTATACTTACTACCTTTTTTTCTTACTACCTCTTACTATCAAATTTTAACCGTTGATTTTCGCCAATCTAATGGTTATAATTTATTGAAATTTAATAATTAATTAATAAGTGTAACACAATAAATTATAACCGTTAGATTAAGGGAAATCAACAGTTAAGATTTGGTAGGAAAAATTAATAAGAAAAAATGTAGTAATTATAACTTCTTCCTTAGTAATATACATCAAATATTCTAACTTGCCCAAGGTTAGAATGCAAAATACTGGGCATTGCGTCAACTGTTAATGTAGTTTAGCATCAATATCAAACAGTTGCTTGATGGCTAAGCAGAAGAATTCTTCTTGACTGCACGTGCACGACAAGCTGTTAAACCAACAAATGCCATAGCTGCCCCAACTGTAAATTCAAGATAGAAAGTTACATAAAAGTTTTAACACTTAAGACAACAGAAAAATGGATATTGTGCAAATTTGTGGAGTATGCGTCAAGCTGTCATGTTCTTGTGAAAGTTAGAAAAAAATAAACACACCTAAAGCAAAAATAAGAGAGTGATGAAGAAGCTGGTGGCGTTGCTTTCTTTTCCTTGCAATCTCAGTTTCTGGAATGCTCAAATGAGGGTGTTCTGCTGCATTAACAATCTTACTATACACATTACTTGAATCACCTAATTTCATGCTTACGTGAATAGGTGCCTCTATTCCAAATTCCTGAGTAACCTATATATACCAAGATAAATAAATGATGAAATACCAAATTTGTACATATAGTTATGGCATAATAAATAATCATCATGTATGCAACGATATGGTAATCATGTGCTGACAATACATTACCTTAACCGAATCTAGTACTGCCCTTGGGAATGGAATTAAATCATCCTTAGCAGCAATGAGGAGGCAAGGAACTCTAAAACCAGTTAGTTCTCCTTGTCTAACAACCATCTCAAGCAAACCTCTGGATTTCTTCCATGAATATTCCTGTGAGCTGGAAAATAGGGAACATAGATCTTACATAACGACACAACAATAAAATGGAAAAAATAGTTAAAACTACAAATATGCAACGAAGAATTGAGCTATATTACTTCAATTGGGGAAATTTATTATAAATTTCCAACCATGGCCCCAATAGAAATGGACATGCAGTAGAGCCACTATATCTGGTTCAGAATCACTTTTGTAGTTATAAGATGAATTTTACTAGAGAAGATCGCCTCACCAAAAACAAAAAGTGCTTACAATAAATCATATAGTTACCATTCCCCCCCTCTCCCTCTTTTTTCTTTCCTCCCTTAATTCTATCCTACATATAGCTAACTTTGGCTTTGGCGTAACATCAAATGTCCTTCTCATTTGTCAGGATAAATCCATGTGTGTTGTATGCAATGAAATTCAACTGCACCATACTCTTCCAGAAAGCCAGGAACCATAAAAATGCAAGCTAAATAAAACTTCACATGATCTTTTATATATTTAAAAAGATAAATAGGTCAGAGATTAAAGACTTCAAGGATTTAAAGTCATGGCTTCAGATTCGGCAAATTTCATCAACATGGATAATTAACCAGTTCATAGGGTAACACATCATGCAAGGCTGGCATTTTAAGGGATCATAAACAGTTATAGAAGATCTTATTTTTGTGTTTCCATATTTCAGATAAAAATTCTGGTTAGAGTGAATCAATAATGCAAAGTGGCACTCCTACAGCTAAACTGTAGCAAAGCATTACCACATAAAATCATTTTGCACCACACCTGTCATACACAAAGACAGCTACATCACATGCAGCCAAACAATCCTGATTTGACAAAAAATTTGATACTCCATCCTCTGGTATCTCGCGCAATACGAGAGTTTTCTTAGTTCCCTGTACAGTAAACATTAAGGATTATGAGTATATAGATGCATCTTGTACTCACTTAACTTCCACCACGACATATATGGGGCTTCCTCTATAGTTATCAGCAATGAGTAATATCAGATCGAGGCAAAACATGAGAGGAAGACAATATCATTTTTCAAAATCATTCAAATAGACAGTAATCATGTTTTCTCATCATAATACTCACCCTCACCCCTGTTAAATCAATGATACTTGCGGCATACTGCTCAACTGTTGTCGGAGTATAATTATTTGAGAAAGGCCTATGAAATAGACAGTACAAGCATATTAAATTTCACATGCTAATTGATTAAAATATAAGGAAGCAACATATACTCAGACCCATAAACCACCATGATTGGTTCAGAAGCACACCTTCCCAACAATGAATACAGCAAAGCAGATTTCCCGGAATTTTTAGAACCAAAAACATAGCATTGGAACACATTTCTTTCTGTTGTTTGCTTCTTGCGATCTACTGATCTTCTACGAGTGACACGGAGTGCTGTAGCAGGATTACCACTATATCCAATGTAAATCAAATTAGCCAAGCTATTTGGTGGATCAAGTAATGTCATAAGGGCCCACTGCACCATACAATTTAGAAGATATATCAATAACAAACTCAATTTCCAATTAAATATGGAGAAGAATTGTAAAGAAGCACAATTCTTTTCAATTTACCTGAAATACCAAATATAAATAAAGGAAGAAAAGTTATGCAACTAGAGGGAATAGCAACCCATCCCATCCAAAAGATGCAGCAAAAAGAGAAAAAGATAATTGGAAGAAAGGGAAGGAGGCTCCCACGAGGAAATCACAAAGCAATAATTTCTTCAGGGTAAAAGATGGAATAAAAGGCCCAACACTAGTAAAATTCTGGATAGTTATCCAGATGACCAAAAAACTGGAGTTTTGTAAATTAAATGAAAATAACACCAATGAGTTATCCAGTTGTATCTTTCCAAGAAATTAAATGAACGTAGGTACCTCAAAATAGCTCAATTTGAATATTCCCTGATAGTGATAGGCATGTCAATTCAACAATTTTACGAGAAGACATGTCATCGTGTCTGTCCTGGTTCTGATTATAATAATCATTGTGAAATTTTCTCCCGGAACTGATCAAATTATGGCTTAGGACACACCTCAACCTCACAGTCTGTTCAATATAGTAGAAAGGAAAATGACATTGTAGATCATGATGATAGGGCCAGAAAGGAGTAGTTAGTTCAGTTATGTTTAGGTGGTTTAAGTTGTTAAAGATAGGAAAATTAGCTTAAAAAGTAGGAGAGGGTAGAAGAGTGGACATTCAAGTTTGTTAGCATTTGGAAACTAAGCATTAGTTCTGTTGTAAAAAAGGGAAACCCTTGGAGGGAAATTTCTCTCCTAAGGTCCATGTTTGTAATTCAATAAAACATTGCAGAAGTATTCTTTCTCTTTTCCCTTTTCTGTTTTTCTCATCTATTGCTCTGAAAACTCAGAATCTGTTTCTGGGTCCCTAACACATAGACCCAATAGCGACAGGCTGAAGAATAAAAGATGGGAAGTAATAAATAAGCACCTGAGACAGAAATCCGTTTAGAGATATATAACCCATGTCAGTTTTCTCGGCTGCATCCTTATATGGAGCATCATTCCACGGACTAAAATTCAAAAACAAGTAGACAATCTGAGTATATAACTTCAGCTGGAAAAACTAAGAGACTGCTATAGGATTATTTCAAGATCTATCACTTATCAGTATTTGTTGGGAAAAGAACGAGTAAAAAAATAAATATTTGTGAAGGACATATCACTTTTCAAAATTATTACTGCTATAAATAGACTTCACCTGAAAATTTCTCAAATATCTATATACCCAATTTTGTGTTTCTGGAGTTATGAAAACATATTGTTGCCTGCATTCTAATAACTGTAGGACACTTTCAACATATAGAGAATAAGACTAGAGAAATTATCAAAGTCTGGGTAAAAAAAAAAAAAAAACACATTAAGCTTGGGCATTAACACCCATGAGAAGAATAAAGAGAGAAAGTGAGAAAGAACTACTTGAAATTATTTTCCACCTCTAGTTTACATAGAAGCATTCCCTCGTTCTTGGAACACCTAATCTATATCTCCCCAAGAAAGGCTTCCCAAATCCCGCAGGATAAAGGTAACAAAAATTTGTTGATACTTATCGAACCTTCGCAGATAGATAGTTGACAGTTGCCACAAGTGTATCTCGTGACAAACAACAACATGATTTGAACATTGATTAGAATATGATGCCTCATGTACATTTTTAAGTGACAAATGATTCCTTCACATTCTTCTACATTTAACAGAACAAATTATCAATGTCTAAAGATTTTTAGTAAGTCGCTTATGTCTTAAGCTTATTTTCAATAGCACACAAATAAATTATCAATAAAGGGCAACACTAGCAACTTCAACAGGCAAGTCATTTATAACTTAACCACAATCTTTAAACAAGAACCAAATAATTCTCAGCATGCATAAACAGCATCTTCTTCAGTCAGTTCTCTTCGCTTTGCAGTATGCTATTGAGTTTTGAACCTAGGAATTATCTGAAAGCTCTCCTCTTACCACTGAAGCAATAGCTCAAACTATTAGAGATAGTCAACAAGTTCTAGACTACTGCATCAACGGTAAGAAAGAGTAACTCAATTACGCAGATTAAATATAGCATTAGTGGGATACTTATTTTTGAAGGGACAATTAAAGGGAAAGTTTACCTTTCTGGAGCAGCATCAAATAGCTTATCAACTTCAGCAGGTCGCAGGGCTCGATCCTAGAAAAGCATTAAGTTTCCGAAGAGAAAATTAGAAAAAGAAGTGCACGTGGAAAGCCAGATAATCCAAAACAGTTGTTACATACTTTATCCGTATCTAGCAATCGAAAGATACCATTGAGAAACTCTATAGCTTGACTTGTTAGCTCCACACTCTGCAAGATGATGCCTAAGAAAGTAAATTCTTACATATCATTTGCAAGTTAAGTAGGAATTTTATAACACCTTTGCAACATTATTTGTCAAGACTTGATGCTTGAAACAAAAGGAAATGTAACACTTGGTAAAAAGTGCATACTAAGTCTTGTGAGTCTATGAACGATCATTTGATTGAACAAGCATGCATCATAAAACAATATCATCAATATTTGCCTCATTCTCTTCAAGTCAACGAAGAACAACAACGAATAAAATTATAATATGTCAAGTACTAGCTGTAAGCTAATTGCAATCCAAACTGCCATATTTGTACAAAAGGAATGCCAACACATAAGGAAATATCTGGAGTCTGGACAGTGAATAACCACATGACACAGTTATTTTTTAGAACAGATATAAAATCTAGAATTTTCCCAATCACCAATCCTAGTGATCCAAGTTGTCCAGGGATAATATTTTCAAAACTCAAGCTACACGCTTGGTTTTGGGCAATTATCAACATTGGGAAAACATAGGATCAGTAGTAAATGGCTAATATTACTAGTACAACCCATATGTAACATTTTCGTTTTCCAAGTCTAACAATTAGACACATTTTCTGTAATGGTTGATACAAGTATTGAAACTTCTAAGAATTAAATGGTTGACCCAATACTCTAACCTCCTCCAATAAAATCAAACAGGAAGGCACAAATGGAACTTCATGATAGCCAAATCCAAGAAAATAAGTATGACCTGATCAGAAGCCTGCTTAGATGGAAAAGGAAGGAAATCATGTCGGAGTTTTAAATCATTATCATATCCAAACTTTCTTAGAACAGCCCAGAATGTCTCTGTTTGCCCTTTCTTTAAAAACATATTATGGACATAAATAAAGCCTGGAAAAATAAGACCAAGAGAGTTCACTCCTTCAGGTACTTTCTGCTCTACAATTGTTTTGACCTTTTCAATTTCAAATGGCTGCAATGGTGCATTGAAGCATCTAACCTGTAGATGTGAATTTTCAATACTAAAGGGGCTAAAACAAAAACCAAATCTTCAATCTACATGAGATAAAAAAAGGGGGAGGGGGAGACCAGGTCTGTCGAAAACCTGAAACTCATTTAGTTCTTCATCATTGAGGGCACCATCCATGTCGTGATCACAAAGAACAAATATTCTTCTCAATGCCCTTACACATCGATCTGTTAAAGCATTTCTTTCATAATCAAACAACGGATCTACTGGATGCAGTACCGCATTTTGGGCAAAATAAAAAACTTGAGGGACCTACAAGTAATCAAAATTAATAGTTAAATATCAGGCACTTGAGTTTAACAAAATAAGGAGTCAAAATAACTCCTATATCATCAAGAAGATATCCTTATGTATAAAGCAAAACAATTGCACTATTGCAAACATGCATGAGTTTCTTAGGATTATTGTAATGAATGACGCTGAAAGAAAACTAAATGATTGAGCGTTCTTTAAACAACAAAAAACGACCCACTAATACATTTTGATGTTATTTTATAATTCTATTGCAGACTAACTATAAGCATGAACAAGTAGCAACAATGCGGCAAAACAACACACCTGATAAAGTGTAGCTGCAGAGCATTCAATGCAGGTGACAATTTCGGGGAACTGTTGCATGATATGTCTCGTGAGACTCTCTAAGCTCACTAACTGGTTTTCATCCCTAAGATCAAGCTTGCAACCAACCACAATTATAGGTGCCTTCACCTGTATCATGATAAACAATAGAGAACTAGTGGCTTACCCTTCATACTTAATTTATGTATTGAAATTTGAAAATGTCAGCAAAAGAAGTAAAACCAACCCCCAACCTCCAACTTCTGCAGTTCAATGAGCCAGTAAGTACTCAAACGCTCAAAGCTCAAAGGTTCATCACAAGCATAGGTTAAAACCACCGCATCAGCTCGCTTCAATTCTTCATTGAGAGCACCTCGTTTTTCCAAGCTAAAACAAAACAAATCACATCTGCTTATTTAAATAAAATTTGAAGCTTGTAAGGCAAAATAAATAAACAAATAAATCTTTTAAAGATATTACTATATGAACCAGACATTTTCATGTCCCGATGAAAATGTATAATTCAATCAATTGAATTCAAATCGAATCACACTTCATGTAGTTAAATCTAGGGCTTATCTTTGATTAACCAATTATTTAAAAAAAAAAAAAGCCGGATTGATTATTTGTTTTCCAATAGAGGAATGCGTGTATGGTAGGGACCTGGAAGGAGTGTCAATGAGGGTAAGAGGAACAGAATCGGGATACGTATTATGGGGCAATCGAGTGGGGGGAAGCACGTGCGGAACGAACTCGGGGAAAGACTCCGACACCATAGCGGCGATGAGTGTGGATTTTCCGGTGCCTCCGTCACCCGCGACGGCGATTCTAACTTCCCTACGACCGGAGTGACCTACCATTGCAGCAAAGCACGAAACCAAAAATCAAACGTGAACATCCAGAGGGGTGGTTTTCTTTGGGCTCTGAATTTTTATGTTGCAGCCTCAGCTATTCTATGATGTTTTTTTTTTTTTTTTTTTTTTGAAGTAAAAATTCTTGGACAAATGAATGATGCACCTCGAACTTATGTCCTCCGAATGAACCCAACGAAGTTTTAAAATTTATAAAATCATTTAAATGAAATTTCGTGCAATGAACGAGTTTTTAAGAAGATATATTAAGAAAATATAACCTCCCTCGAGAAAGAAAATGCTAAAAATTATAAAGTATTTTTTTGGGGTGAAATATACTCCTAAGCTAATTGTGTTAAAGACACAAAATATTATTTTTATTTTAATTAAATTTGAAAGTAATTTAAATTTGAAATTACAAAAAATTAATAATAACATACATCATTATTTAAGAGATAGTGACATAAATAATTTAGTCACTCTTAAATAAGAAAAAGGGATATTCTAACTATCAAAAATTTTTATTGTAACTTACTACTTATTTAATTATCGAATAAATCTTTGGTATGCCTAAATTCAGTGCATCCTACTAATATGAGCATTACACATTAGAAGAAAGAGAAAAAATTTGACACTTAAAAAAAACTTTAGCTGACACGTAATATTTTTGTTGGTGAGATGTACTGAATCTTTAGTGCAACAGTAGCACCAAAGATTTATTCTTAATCATCATTAGATTAACATTTACTCTTTTTTAAAAAAAAATTTTAACACTCTAATATAATAGGAGATAGATAATAATGTGATAGATACTAAGTTAGGAGGGAGAGTTTTTGATATTCTCCCTCGATGAATAAATGTATTCTAATATAATAGGAGATAAATATTGGCAGTAGGGTTTAAGGGGCATTTCATTTCCAATTTGGGTTTAAGGATTGAGTTGAACCCTCGAGAGCACGCCAATGATTATGATGCGGTTGGTTCGTTCCATTGGAACGTATATCGCCGTCGCTCGCCACTTTTCTACGGAGGCGGCGGTACAGAAGGCGGCACGAACAGACACCGCCGCGAGCTCCAGCGGCGGTCGAGATACGCTGGGGCGGAGGCTTTTGAGCCTTGTGTACGCAAAACGCAGTGCCGTCGTCACCATCAATAAATGGAAGGAAGAGGGTCACGCGCCCCCTCGCAAATACGAGCTCAATCGCATTGTTCGTGAGCTCCGCAAGAGCAAGCGCTACAAACACGCACTCGAGGTTGGTTCAGAACTAATCTCTTCTTCATAATAGTTTTTTGTGTTAAAGAATGGTTCTTTTGGGGATTTGAATATTAGGGGTCTCGGTCACTAATTAGAATTTGTTTATTGTTGGAAATTCAAGTGTCATATTGGTTTGGAATGAACATGACTCATAAAATCATTGCCTTAAGGATTTTGAGAAATGGTTATAGAGTTTGATTTTATCATTTGCATACTATAACTCTCCGTGTACATGATTGTAGTGAGCTAGGTTCAGGGGAGTGATTTTTCTGCCCCTAAATGTGAATGGGTTAAAGGGGGCGAACCGGAGTAGTGATAAAATTGTTCCTTCATAACTCAAAGGTTATGAGTTCGAATCCAGGAAACAGCCTCTTTGCAATTATGCAAGGGTAAGGCTACGTAGAAGGATTTTCTCCGCCCCACACTCACTAGGGTTTAACATAGAGTGGTTTTTTAAATGTGAATGGGTTGATCTGATTCTTTTAATTTTAATTTTAATTTTTTTAAATTGCAAATGCAGATATGTGAATGGATGACCTTGCAGAAAGATATCAAGCTAGTGCCAGGAGACTATGCTGCCCACTTGGACTTGATAAGTAAAGTTCGGGGTTTAAACAGTGCAGAAAAATTCTTTGAGGATCTTCCTGATCGAATGAGAGGCCAACAAACCTCCACTGCTCTTCTTCATTCCTATGTCCAGAATAATTTGGTTGACAAAGCTGAGGCACTCATGCTGAAAATGTCACAATGTGGCTTCTTGGGATGTGCACTTCCTTATAATCACATGATATCTCTGTGCATCAGGAATGGGAAGCTAGAAAAGGTTCCTAAAATTATTCAGGATTTAAAGATGAACACTTCGCCAGATGTTGTTACTTACAATTTGTGGTTAACTGTTTGTGCCTCGCTGAATGATGTTGAAACTGCAGAAAGAGTACTGCTTGAGCTAAAGAAGGCGAAAATAGATCCGGACTGGGTAACATATAGTACATTGACCAATTTGTACAGAAAAAATGCTTGCGTTGAAAAGGCAGGATCTACTTTGAAAGAGATGGAGAGTAAAACCTCACAGAAAACTCGAAATGCATATTCCTCGCTCCTCAGCTTGCATACAAACATGGGGAATAAGGATGAAGTTAGTCGAATATGGAAGAAAATGAAGTCTTGCTTTCGCAAAATGAATGATGATGAGTACCTTTGCATGATATCATCACTTGTGAAGCTTGGAGACTTTGCTGGAGCTGAGAATCTCTATAGGGAGTGGGAGTCTGTTTCTGGGACCAATGATGTCAGAGTTTCCAATATACTTCTTGCTTCTTACATTAATCAAGGCCAGATGGAAATGGCTGAAACTTTTTGTAATCAGATGGTGGAAAAGGGCATCAGTCCTTGTTACACTACATGGGAGCTGTTTACATGGGGGTATTTGAAAAAGAAGGATGTGGAAAAATTTATCCATTATTTTAAGAAAGCTATTTCTAGTGTGAAAAAGTGGAGTCCCGATCAAAGGCTAGTACAAGAAGCATTCAAAATCATTGAGGAGCAAGCTCATATTGAAGGAGCAGAACAATTGTTGGTTATCCTTCGGAATGCTGGCCATGTGAATACAAATATATATAACCTATTTCTCAAAACTTATGCAACAGCTGGTAAAATGCCTCTTATTGTTGCTGAGAGGATGAGAAAGGACAATGTTCAGTTGGATGAAGAGACTCATAGGCTCTTGGATCTAACGAGTAAAATGTGTGTGAGTGATGTTTCAAGGATTCTGTCCTGAGCGCCCATTGAAGAAGTCTTAAGATAAAGTGGAGGACTTGAACAATTTTTGGCTGTGATTTTTCATAGTGTTCGTCCCATTTGTGAATATAATAATTGGATTGTTCATGTTTGTGAACGTAAGAAACCTCAGGCAATGATACCAATTTTGAAACCAGGTACTGAAGCTTGATGTCGGAGGCAGAATAAGTAGATTTCCCTGGTTCAACTACTTCAATCTATTCATGATGGTATGTTGGCAACTTGTCACAATTTTTTTGTTTTGGTACATTGTGGGGATGGAGCCCAACTTGTCACAACTTCAATGCATGCCACTGCTGATCTTTCTTTCATACTAATCAGGTAGCCTCAAAAATTTATGGAAGTTGGTTAGGCTTGCAAAAGTTTCTGCTTGTTATTGTTGTTATCATTGATTCTCAAACAAGCAGTGAGTGGATGAAGTCTATTTCCCAGTTACCATATTCAAAGAATTTTTCAGATCATTTTTCTTTTGTAACTGCAGTTTTTTGTTTTGGGGATTGGTAGTGTTGAAATTTCTTAAACGGCCTCCCAAACCCCCTAGGATGAGGGTTTTATTGACCAAAATCTTGAGTCTGGATGTGTAGGCAGTTTCGCTCCCTGTGTTTCCTATTTTGGTACGTAAATGTATCTATTTATTTCGGATATGTATGCCCAAGAAACTCAACCTTTATTGATCCAGTTTCACCAACCATTATCTGCAGCATATTATTACGACAGATCTCAAAAGATTTAGTCATGTAATAACTTTTCTAACGATTTTTATCTAATTAATCAGACTGATGACCTGTTTCACACGGGCCTGATTGGCTTAGTATTTTTTATTTGTTTTTTTTTAATTTAAAAGCTAGTTAAAATATAAAATTAAACTGTTTGACAATTATATGATTTTTTAAGCTTAAAATTTAATTTGAAGTTGAATATGTAATCAAGCAAAATAATTTATATAAGTTTTAATTTTAATTAAAATTATCGTAAAGGGCATATAAATTGAAAAATATATATATAATGAAAAATAAGTTCTAAACAAATAACAAATGCTTATTTTTTTAATTATATTTTAAAGTTAAGAAAGAATATATTTATATACTAATTAAGTAATCTTTATTTATCAAGTATTCGTTTATATAATTAAATGTTTTTAAAAAATGTTCAATATAATAATATATTAAAAAATGAATATTTTTAACCATTTCAGCTTGGGATGTGCAAAAAAAAATCAAATGAACCAAACAAAACTATGAACGGATTTGAAATGCACCAAAGGAATCATATTTTTTTGAATTGGTTTAAGAATTAAACCATTTTTTTAAACAGTTCGGTAAAAATAGTTTGAATAAAACCGAATCACTTTACTGATTGGAATAAAATCGAATCAAACCCAACCATATTTATTCCTAAATATAAGAAAAAAATCAACTGAACCACACCCTATTTTTTTGAACAACTTTAAAAATCAAATTATTTTCTATAAATCGATTCAATAACCGAACCACTTTTCTGGTTGGGTAAAAAAACTGATCCGAACTAGTTTGAGCATGACACAATTGATTAGGAAAGGTGATCACATGAATATCAATCAATGATGGAGTGAGGGATGAGTTTAGGAGGGCAATTGCGTCCCTTCAAATTTATACAATTGAGCAAAATTTTCCATTTTTTGATCACATAATTAGTAATCGCGCCATTGAAAATTGGGTTCTATTTCTCTTATGTTGTTGTAGATAAATATCTTCTACCATAGATACATCATGCGATGGGCTCACCACTCTTTTAAAAAAGAAAAAATGGTAGCACAACTTTTTATGTGAAAGGAGCATAAGATAGTTACCTCATGGAAAATGAGACAATGATTTCTCTTGAAAATTTATAGAAACCTTTAGTTATGAATATTTTTTTTATTTTTTTGTCATATAGATACAGAGGCGGAACTAGAGGGGGGCTAGGGTGGGCCCCCGCCCCCTTAAAATTTGATAGAAAAAAATTATATATAAAAATGGTATTTTAATAATATTACAAAATGTGGGAGCGGATAAATTACTGACATGCGTGAGCGTAAAGAGGAAGCACAAAATCTCAACGGCTCAAATCAAACTTCTGAAAATTGTTCAGCCTGCAATTGCAAGAGAAGACAACTGAAGAGGAAGCACAAGCATTTTCATTGAAGGGGGGGGGGCGTGGGAATCAATCTTGAAACACTCTTCAAAAAATTTTCGGGATTGTTTAGTTAATTTTAATGATATTGTATTAATTTTCCCATCACATGGGAAAAAAATAATTTCACCCCTTCAATAGTAATCTTTCCCAACTATTTTATATAGAAAAGCAAATGATGGGAAAAAATTTCCAGCCATATTTTAACTTCACCTCCTACTAAACATAGGCAAATAATTTTCCAACCCCATTTTTCTATGAAATTGTTTTTCACCTCCTACCAAACATGTGATTGTGAGATTAAAAAATTGTATTCTGTTCTTCTAAATTATTCTTAATCTCTTTAAATTTCCAACAATTTTAGCTATAAAAAGAATGAAAGGACATATATAACTTTGTGGGTATCTAATTTATTGATAATGGATAACATGATTTATTTATGGGTTCGCCTCTTCTCCAGAAATAACATATGAAACTTTTTGTAGCAAACATATTTACACATGTGGATTCTGACATTTAAAAAAAAAAAGTTAGGATTTGATGCGTAAAATAAAATCAAGAACTGTATACCAAAAAAAAAAAAATCAAGAACAAGCTTTGAAATAAACTAGAAGACTAATTTCTTGATGATTCTTTGATTACATACATTAAAAAAGAAATTGTTTTGAGTTTTAACACGGATTCAATTATATATGAGTTTAACAATAAGAAAATACGTAAAATAAGAGTCAAATGAAGTGATCTTAATCTTTGTAATAGATTTCTTTTAATTTTTTTTATATTAGGTCTGTATTATATTTCAAATATTTTTATTTATAATATAATATTTTTATTTTCGCCCCTCCTTATTAAAATTCCTACGTCCGCCACTCTATAGATAATCATAACATCAAAGCAAAGAAGAATATAGATTATAATTTTGTCCCCCTGACAATTTTTTCTGATTCCGTGCAATTTTTTTAAAATAAGTCGAGCAAAAGGCTGGAAATTTCTTTCGGAAGCTGTTCATAAAAAACTATTTTTATGTTTTTTTTTTCTTCGTTACAAAATAAGCTGTTTTTTATTAAATAAAAACTTCAATTAAAAAGTATTTGATTTATCTTCGAGATGCTAAAAGAAATTAACGAAAATGGATATTTGCTATATTTTCAACCATTAGGACGGATAATATATACTGGATTGTAGTATCTTTTACCATAGAATATAAATTAATTTTTATAAAAATAAAAATATTCAATATTTTAAAAATTAATATATTCAAAAATTAATTTTTATTTTAATAGATTAATGTTAAAATATATATTAAATTTTGAGAATTGGACAACGATGTAAATACATTAATCTCTTATCAGGCTTTATCTCTCACCCTTAGGCCGGATTAAATTATACATCGTTTTGATGTATTAACGGATTATGCTGTATAAGCTTATACTATACGATGGTCACATCAAACAACGAAAAATATCATAATATATAGTATAAGCTTACACTATCATGTCTTATACGTCACACCAAAGAGGCCTTAAATCTCAATCTCAACGAACTTTTAGTCGTTTATGTTTATTACGTAATCAAGGTAATATTTTGGTATTCTCTTATGTGTTTTCTTTTGGTGAGATTATCAGTATTCTTTAGCAATTAGTAGTTAATATTTGAAATATAAATACAACAAATTTTATTTTGATTAAATAAGGCGTATAATTAAATATTGATGTATTGGTATTCTCGATAAAACAAAAGTTGTGATAGAACTAGAGCTGGTAAAATGGGCAGCACGTCCCGCTTCGCAATAAGCCCGCCAAAAAATTGACTGACCTGCTCCGCCTTTGAAGGTGAGCTAAAAAACTTAGTCTGTCCTGCCCCGTGTGAGCGGACGGGGCGGACTGTTCGCCAGTCCAATAACATTTTATACTAACAAAACAAAACAAAACATAAAAATTTAGTCTGGCGGGCTGGCGGGCTTGAAAAACTCCCGTCGGACCACTCAGGATTCTCGATCGAGGCGAGAAGCAGCTGGGGAGCAAGATCATTCCGATGGTCAAGGTGCAGTAGACTGGGAGAACTCCTGAGGAGTGTACCTGGGAGCGAGAGGACGAGCTTCTCCAGCAGTATCCTGACTTCCGAGACAGGTATATTTATGATTTTGAGAACAAAATCCTTAAAAAGGTGGGGTGAATGTAAGAAACTGCACTATTAATTAAGGAAGTTAATTAATTAATTATGTGAAATTAGGAAATAATTCCATAATTGACCATAATAATTATTATGAGGCTTAAATAATATTGGTAAGTGGTTATAATGCTGAAAGTCGTTTTTCTGACGAAAAGTGCAGATACCGGTTCTGCTACTCGGTATAAATGTGTGCCGATGAAGTATCTCGAAAAATTATGAAAAGTGTGTATATGTCACTAGAATAATATATAGAACTTGTAAAACGAGTTTCAAGTCAAAATAATGAGAACTGGTGCCGGAACTCATACTGGCTATGGAAAAGCGCGTAGCGGAAAAGTGCTGCGAAAAATAAAATAAAAATATGATAAATCTTAGAAAAATGAGTAGGATCAGAATCCTAAGTTTGGAATTAAAATGCTAAGCGTAGCAATTAGCGCTTATACTGTGTGATTAACCTTGAACCGGCTATATATATATATATCATTTCTGCACAAACACTACAAGAAATGCGGCCTTTAACCACGACCTTTTAGCCAGAGTAGATATCATCTTTGCAAAAATAAAAGACATGCTCAAATTTACTATTGAGTTTCGAAATAATAACAAAACTTGGCACTGGAATATTTTCTTTTTTTATTTAATTATTTTTTAACTCCTATCAAATCAAATGTAGCAATAAATGCATTCTCTCTAACATCCGAATGAACTCTAACATTTGGATATCAAACCCTAACCACCGTTTCTCACCGATTTCTCTTTCAGACATGCACTCGATTCCAATTGCAATGGCTATTAGCAAGTGTCTCTCCGAATCATTCCCTCTTCAACTCCGGCAAATAGCAGCATCTCCAGCTCCGCCTTCTCAATATCCATGAGTATGAGGTCTTTTTCTCTATCTCATTCTCTCTTATCGTTTTTTATATGATTACAAACCAAATTCTAACTTCGTTGAATCTGTTCTTTTTCAATTTTAGATTCCTTTTGTGTCTCCACTTTTTATTTAGAAATAAATTAATAATAATTAATTGTCTTTGTGGATGAAATTTCTCTAATATATAATTTGTGAGATCGTGGATGCTTCTTTGAAGCTCTTTGATGATTGATCAAGCGTTGTTAAAATAATGATACCTGAATTTCCATTAAATCAGGGGCTGAATTGATGAGCAAATACGAATCATAGTCGTTTCCTCTGTTGAAGAAGCGAAAAAGGGGTTGTCTTCCCTCATGAAATGAGGTAATGCATAACACAACTTGATGCTCACAAAACTAAATAATTAAATTTCAAAATTTCAAAATGTATTGTCTTTTCGATAATTGCATGTACAACCATTTTTAAGGTTGGAACCTTATTTATGCAATTTTTCCCTCTAGAAAATAGCACCTAATGTTTTAGTTAGTATAGAATTTACATATGATGGATGACAAACAATGTAAATTGGATTATTGTGCAGGAACTTTTAAAAGTGGTCTTAAGGGAGGAGTGTTCATGTGAAAACTGACTGGGTTAAAGACATGATTGGTACTGCATATCTCCTCTGTTATCCCTCAAATTTGAAAATTCCTTGTCGTCAATTTATGCCCTTGGCTTTTTATGTAACACTCAAGGAATACATATCATGCTTATAAGTATTAATTTAACCAATTTAAATTATTAATTGAGTTCAGGATGCAATAATTGGAACTTATATCATGTGTTATTTACAGAGCGATTAGATCAAGACACAAGTGGATTCTTAAACTATATGCCATAATTTTTTCCATTATTCATGTATTTCAAAATAGGCAGATTCTTGTCCACTAAGTGGCTCCATTGGCTCTGCCTTTTTACACATGAATAAGAATGGTGTTAATGGTAGTGGTTATCCATACAAGAATATGTTCTCTTTTGTGCCATTTTGGGGAAATTTTTACTCCTCATCACCCTTTAACTTGTTTACTTCAGTTTTTTATTGTTGTTGGTAACTTGGTGTTAATGTAGAAAAGTCAGGCTTGTGAAATTTTAGTTTAAATTGACATTTGAAAAGAATAAAAAAACAGAGAAAATGAAATGAAGATGTGTTTTTTCTGTACAAATCCTGGTTCGTAAGAATTACAATAAAGAATAAAGATGTGCAAGAAATATATATATATATATATATATATATATATATATATATATATATATATATGGAAAATAACCCCACTCTTCATGCAAGAAATATATATATATATATATATATATATGGAAAATAACCCCACTCTTCATGAATCTTTTGCAGAGCTAATACTCTGTGGGCTAATTCAAATTTAGTATATTAGATTTATTAGATTAAAAGCTCACATTTTTAAATATTTTATATTCTAATGACTTTGAAGGATTATGTTCTTTTTCTTGTTTCTTTCAGCATGTGAAACTCATAATTGGATTCATGCTATGAACTTTATATTTGTTTATCTTTAACCTTAACTGCTCTTGGCTTGGTGTAAAGAGAACCCACTTCTTATCCTCTCTTGCCTTTACAATCCAAGCTTATTTTGTTGTTCTCAGCCTGAATTGCATCGAATTTATGATTATATTATGTTAATATTGAGAAAATTGAATACAATATCAATTTTATTTTAATTGGTTTATTGATATTTATTGAAGGTATTTATAATTTGTTTTTTCACCACCTTGATAAGAAAATAATAGGATCAATTTGAAAGAGATGTTTTAAAAGGGAAGGATATTGTCTATTAAAGTTTGATCACATGTCTAAATCACGGATGAAGCTAGAGAAGCAATTTCTAACAAGACAGTGTGCTTTTGCTTCATCATTTTGAACTTTTCGTATGTGTATAACTTTATTGGGTTGAATATAGTGATTTGAATCTTGAGTTTAAGAGGACTTTAACAAAACTAATCCGAGACAAAGTATTGTTTGGGTAAAGTGGCATGATAAGGGTGAAAAAGAATTATATTGCATTTTTTTATGGTGAAAAAATTATATTGCTTTGGAACGACAATTGAAAAAATTATATTGCTTTGCAGGTTTTTTTACCAATTGCAAGTAAGTTTGGGCTTTTAAACTCTTCAACTTTTTTTTATTTAGATTTTATGGATATGAAAATAGAGTAGTGGAAACTTTAGAAATTTGAAGCAGCCATTTGGCGTTAGCCATTTAAAATAGTGGAAATGTGATTTGACTGTGAAAAAAAATTACAAAAACTTAAACTACATATCCAAGATTTTCAGAATGAAAGGGTTCAAAATTACATGTAATTTTGATAACACACAAGTTTATTTGCGGAGCAAATTAGATGAATTTACGCTAATATTAGTTTCATAGGCGTTAATGTGAAGGAACGAATTTGTTATTTGACTAAAGTTTACTGTTATACTCACTATTCTAATGGGGGATTAGTTTAACTTTAAATTGACTTAATTTGTTATTTGACTAATAATGGCTCTACTTCATTTACAAATGAATTGGTGGACTGTATCCTTTATGTTCTTTTGAATGAATTTAGTGTTGCATTATAAATTGTGGGTTTGTGGGTTAAAATTTCAAAAGAAGTTAATGATACACATGTTCTTATTATTCGCATCATTGAGCATGGAAGATACGCGGCAAGGAGTTATAATCAAAGGTAATTTCTATATCTTGATGGTAAAATGGATATTAAGAAATTTTCCAACGCTTTGTGTTTCTTTTCTTAAAAAAATTAAAATGGATGTGACTATGTTGTGTCCCACTGAGTCATAGCCACGATAGAATTGGAAAAGAAATTAAGTAAATTGGACCCACGAACGCAACAATAAAATGGCTTTTCCATGCTTTTTAAGCTATGTCATTATGTCTAAAATACCTCTAGATTTTTCCTTTGAAAATGTTGAATATGATTTTAAGCAAACTAAATGACTTGATATGTTATGTCTGCTTCTCAATTTATTGCACTACTCAGGAATCATTAAATGCCGAGCAGATATTGTGTGTCAATATCTTATCTGATACAAAATTCAAAATAAATTTTTATCATAGATTTCAGGTTAGGGCTGGTTTAGGAATATCAATTTTTATATATTGTCGAGTGTCATCCAATTGTATAAATATAATGATTATCAATTTCTCCTATTCTTTTCTTATGTGTGTCTCAAATAATTTGTATTTCAAACAAAGAATTGAACTTTTTATTTGATGACAGGATGCTTCCGAAATACAATGTCCCCTGTCACTCTACAGGTTGGTTAGATTGGATATACGATCATACTACATTTATCAGTTAACATAGATTTGCATGGAAAAACCATGCTGTTTTGTTTTTCTGTTGGATTTATCATGCAAATGGGTGTGCAGAAAATAGAACAACTATTATGAGCGAGCAAGACTAAAAAAGTAAAGGGAATTGACTTGGATGATTCTGCTATTTGAAATGGTAAATATTAACATTTTTGGAACAGTGGCTCTAGCATCTTTTAATTCTTTGAATAACCTGTGAATGTTTGTTGTTCAGGTTTCTCACATGAAAAGCAATGACTATTAGGGAGGAGAATCCACCTTGCTCAATGATAAGACACGGGGCATAAAAATGTATTTTAGGAAGAAGTATAGGAGATCGTTAGCTTGTTTGTATAGGAGATCGTTAGCTTGTTTGTATAGGAGATCATTACCTAATATAGATATGCTTATTGTATTTTTACAATAACTTGCAGTTGAGACAGATCTTCAATCAGGGGCACAATATAAATATGAGGTATTTATGGTGTATTTTCATGCAGTTGCTTCAGCTTTTAAATATAATTTTGTTTCCAATTTAGACCAAAGGTGTCTTGAATGGGTATATAAAATTAAAATGTTGAACTCATGTAGCATGTTTCCAATTTAGGCAATAATAAATGTTAAATAATCGACCAATCTCTTCATTTGGATCTGAAGTATTATTGTTATTAATTGTCACTATGATAAAATATTAACTTTATGGGGATATGGATACCTTTTGTTTTGTCGGTTTGACTTGGAGACCAATGTGCATACATTTTCCTTTTGAGCTCTCCAATTTTCAAAGATTTTGCCTTGTCCACTAAAGAGTATAATTTAGTTGGCATCAGAATGTCTTTATTGTTTATGTTCTGTTAAATCTGAAACGAGAAAAAAGTGGGATTTGGAAATAACAATGGTTTAGAGCTCTCTTGCTTTCTCAAATCAAATTTTACAACTCCCTTCAAACAGGGTTACAATCTATTTCGAATTAGGCTCTTGAGTTGTAACTTTGCTTTGTGGCCATTTTCTAACTTGTGAATCGTTTTGTTTATTTGATTTTTCAACATTATAGGGCAGAGAATCTTCAAAGGTTAGAAATTGAGCTAAGGTATTGAGGCATTGCACAATCATAGGCTGTGATGGCACCCTTCTAAGGAGTCAAAATTTGTTCTGTTTGTTTACTTTGAGCCTCACGTCAAGAGGCATGTATTGTTATATGTTCATGTAGCATGCTTTGAAATATAATATAGTTTTTGTTATCAATTCTTTCAAAATTCTATTTGTTGTTTGCAGGAAAGGACTTAGCAGAGCATTGTAGAAATGAATATTCTCGGGGGCCCAACTTTATACTTTGGTTTATTGCTGAAATTGCTATAGTGACCGCTGACATTCCTGAAGGTATAGGGGTGAATTTAGCATTTTTTAACTCTTGCTAATTATTTATACTACATGTAAATGGTACCTATCATAATCATTATTTTTTTATGTTGATCTTATTTGGATGCTAAGATTGCTTTTCTACTCTTTGTATGCAGTAATTGGTACAGCCTTTGCATTGAACATGCTCTTCAACATACCTGTTTGGATTGGTGTTATTCTGACACGATTCAGCACATTGTTCCTCTTAGCATTACAGCAACATGGGGTAGTTTTCTATATTCCATACAACCCTCTCCCTAGGGTTACCTGATATCATGCTATGGTTTGAAAGGATGCACGTAAATTGTTATATCCTGAACAAATCTACGGTTGTCCTTCCATATATGCTATTAAGACTTTGGAGAATTTGAAGTCTGCTATTAAGACTACTAAGAGGCTCTGTGCTGTGAGTTTTTTTTTTTGGTTGCTTTACATAATATATTTTTGCTAGATACATGGATCAAAGATTCAAGCACTGTAATTTACATGTTTACTGTCCATTTTATTATGATTAATCTTTTGCTGAGTGCATGAGGAATCTTCAATTTATGCATGTGGTGTTCTTGCTGTTGTTCTGCTTTCTCATGGAATTTATTTTCATAACGGGAAAGGGACTGAGTGTTGGTTACTCTATTGCCTTTGCCAGGTTATGTTGCACACGGTTGGTGCAGAGATGCAGGTTGTTAACAAAAGTGAGACGCCTATTTCACTTCAGGCTGACGATCAGGTTGTTCTAACTCCTGACTAAGGACAAGAAGCCACTTCAAAGATACTGCATATCAATTTTGATGGACTAGCCAAGGTTCATTAAAGTTTTCAACCTTCTTATGATATCACGTGACTGACTTGATTTCGTGTACAGTATTTCTATGAATATTATTAACCCGAATGATTTATTTTAGTCAATTGTACTCTCTGCTGCCTATGTGTGCCTACTTGAATTGGAATCAATTGCACCTTCCTACCTTTGGTTAGCTCGAATTAGCTGTAAATTTCAGCCATCTATGCGATGTTGCTCTCACTTATGATTTTAGAAGCAATAAATTGCTGGTTGCATAGATGCCTTTTGCGCAAATTGATTATGACAGCAAACAACTGATGAATAAATAAAAATAGTAGAGCTCCAAAATTGTATGGGCAAATGTTTCATTTTTTTTTATACATTTAGAATAAATTAGCCACGGTTATAACAGTAGCAAAATACATAATAAATGTGGCTAAACACATGTTACCACGATCAATATACCTATGGCTAAATACAAAAAAGGACGTGCCTAAATTAATGCGACGCCAGCAATATCCATGGTCAATCAAATCGTGGGAAACTAATTTAGCCACGGTTTTTGTTAACTTTTGCCACCTTCATAGCCGTGGCAAAATGCTGTTTTTTTTGTAGTGAAAACCCTAGGCACCTTATAAATCCTACTTGAAAGGGTGGGTGACCAGCTCTCTATTCAATGTTTCATTGTTGTTCCCCTTCTTCTTCATCACTTTGAGAGCCAAGAAGACCTCTTTCTTCTTGGTTTTTTCATCAAACACTTACTTTTAAATATTTTATAAAAAATGAGTTAAAAAATTTATATTAATTAAAATTATATATTTTTAAATTATATATTAAAACATTATATTTTATAGACTATTTTATATTAAAATGTGTTATTACTTTGATAAAGCATTAATAATTTATTTTTTTGATTTTTTCGTTTTAACGTTATTATTGTAAAATTTTATGTTTGATTTCCATTAAATAACATGAGTTTACTATCCATTAGTGATGCTAATATTAAATTTTTATTTAAGAATAGATAAAATATTTAAAATAGAGGTCCAATAATTTATTAGCGACATCCCTCTTTCTTATTTGTGAATTATTAAACTTAATCAGGAAGTGAAAGATAGTTGACCAAAGTAGTTGAACTATCTCAAAGGCCAAAGTCATAGAGTAGCTACCATGGTAAAGTCGCTGGTTTTCTCAGCTATATATTATGGGAAAATAATGGCACAATTCAACCAAAGTCGTTATATACGATAGCGACTTTGGTATACTCAGGCCAAACCAGGCTTCCTACGCATCTGCATAGCTAACATGTGGCCTTCCATAGTCACTACATAACTCAGCGACTATAGTGCCGTGACAATTTGGTATATTTTTTCAAACTTGTGGCATTCTGCAATATTATATATATTTTTATGATAGCACGGTCAATGTTCCCATATAAGTATGTGAGACTCATGTTTGTAGAAGAAAGAGAAAAAAAAAGTATGAGTGACACATTTTATATGTGTATATAATAGATAAATTTATCTTTTACATCTCGTGAGTTCATTGAATACGTACTAGTTAGAAAGTAATTATACTTACTTTTTTTCAAATCGATTTCAATCATTCTCACTGCATCATTAATTACTGCACTAAATAGAATTTCAACTAGTTCAATTTACCAAACGCTGGTACATATGGTAGTGCTTCTAAAAAGTTGTTTATTACTAGACTTCAGACCTGGCCATGAGTTCAGATTTACATTAAGCCAGAGCACACCACATGGCACATGCTACGTACACGGGCACGTAAATGATTGTGATTGGAGATCAATACGCCGACAGTTTCCACTTGGAATAATGATTTGTAAATGTTTGTGAAAATGCTTCACTAACCTATTTCGCTAGTCAGTAGTGTAGGGTATAATTTGGTTGAGTGCTCTCTTCACTTCAACAATGCTAACCTTCTTCCCGTTTGCATTTTCCTTAACCTTAGCCCTCAATTCCGCCACAAACACCGCATTGTTCAGCGAAGAATGAACCCCAATAACCTCTATTCGCAACTCCCTCAGCATTTGCATAACGTCAAGAAGCAACCCTTCTCGGTGAGTGCACTCAATCTCCAAAAGCGCGTCGCTCTCTATGATCGAAACTTGCACTGATGTTGAAGCCTCAACCTCCACCGTCTTCGCCCTCCCTTCAACGATCCTCACCTTCCTCTTCTCGGGCCCCACCAGGACAGTTACCCCACTCCTCTGTTGTTCCTTCGTGGTGCTGCTACTTGTCCTCTGCACCACCGGTTGCTCCGCCACTCTCGACCGTTGTTCAACCTCTATCTGGCGGTTACGCGCCTCCAGGTCCTGAATCTTCCTGCGAAGCTGTTTCACGTACTCGATGGTGTCCCCTAGTATGGAAGCCTTGTCCATTTTCGTCACGAACGGAACCAGCGACCTCAGAATGATGAACCTCTCGTTCAGCTTCTCGCGGCGGCGGCGCTCTGCCAGCACGTGGTTCGCGCTCAGCTCGTCTTGCGCTGTACCCTTGCCGCGTAACCTGGCGGCCGGGTCGCCTCCGGCTGCGGCGGTGGAGTCTCGGGTTTGGGGAGAACTCTCGTCGTGGTTCTTGGCGTGCAGGTATGGGACTGTAAACAGAATGTACTTGAGGAGCCACTGACTGGTGCCGTCCACCGCCGTGTGGAAGTGGTGGTCGGCGAGGCTGCACCACTTGGCGAAAGCTGATTGGGTGGAGTAACTGATGTAACCGCCAACGGAGGGTGACTCGGTCCACCGGGTGCACTGGTTTTGGAGGATGTTTGATACCGTTTGAGCGTAGTAAGTGTCTTCTTGTGTCAAGTCTTCTAGTGGAGGAAGTACTGCAAAGTTAAAAACAATAGGAGATGAAAAGAAGATCCTAATTGTTAATTTGTTTTGTGTAGAATTTGTAACATAGATAATGTTAAGGATTTATCTTCTAGAATTTCAAATGGTTAGGTTGGTTGATTTTCTGAATGTTTGTACCAAGACAAATTCAATAAGCATTATTTTTCTTTTTAACTATTTAGTTGAAAACATGCAGGAAAGTGCTGAGTCATTTCTTTCAACAGCTGATTAATCTTTTCCTAGCTCTTCTGAGTAGTCTTTGACTTTGACTAATTTTAGATAGATGCAGTCCATTAAAGATATTCAAACTATTATTTAATATGTATAAGGTTTTAAAAATATTTTTATATATGTTAAATAACAATTTATTTGATATTAGAATTTATAACATACGGTGTCCACTTGGAATTTTTTTCTGTAAACATTTCTTCATTGCACAAAAAGACAGCCGGAAAGGCCCCCTGTCAAATCTTTACACATCCATTTGGTTTGGAGAAAAAAATAATTGTATAAGGACGAGGCACTTAATAAATAATTAACACGTGTGAGGTTCCATAACACACAAAAAAAAAAAAAAAAAAAACACGTGTGAGGTTATGTGAATTATTGTTGGAAATCCACCTTTCTCTAAAAAATATTTATATGATTCGAGTGGCTATGAGAAACCATATATACCAAATAAAAGATATTCTTAGGTACTTTTAAAGTAATAAAAAAAAAACTTATTATGTATCATTAAATATGTGTACCACATTAATTATAATCATTAAAAATAATGCAGTTTGAGTGAAAACTAGTATGTAGCAAAAAAAAAAATATAGTAAGAAATAGTAGTAATTCATAAAAATTGATAGGATATATATTAAATGGTACATATAATAAAAAAATTCTTATTCTTATTCTTAAAACTCCTAAAATTATGTTGATTTTGATGAAGAAAAAGTTTCGGGAAAAGAAGGTTATACTTATAGTATTCTATTGCACAGGACATATCACATGTCTCCCCGTGAACCTCTTACGACACTTATAAATAACTTGTTAATAAAAAAATTGATAGGAAGTAAAAAAGTAAAAAAATAATAAATTTAAGCTCTATGAGAGAATTGTCTTTATCGTCATTAAGTATTCCCTCACGAATAGTTACCAACTTAAGTCATTGATGTACACACATTGTTCTTCCATTACTATTTTTATGTTTTCTTTTTACTATATATTGCATGGGGAGCATGGATATTGGTTTTACGTACATAATGTGTATACAGATAAGTGGGTCCCACTAAAAAGTACGAGACAAACAGATTAATTAGATGGACCACATGCACAGACATGAACATAGCAATCTATGACACACGAGACTGGGATAGTGCTTGGACCAATCCTATTAGTGTCCTCTCTTCTCTATCTGCGTCATCTATCGTGGTCCTTCACTGGCTAGATTTCGTTTTCCAAATTTAATGAACGTCACGGTATACACTATACACTCTCATTTTATTTTTTATTTATTTATTTGTTGGAAAATATACTCTCATTTTTTTTAGGTGTTGAATGTTTGTTTGATGAGTTGATGCAGTGCAAGTGCTGTGCCAGTTGTTGTATATGATATCATGTCACGTGTGTGTGTCTGTCTAACTAATTAACTACCAGTTTACCTGATGCCGGTAGTTGAACTTGTAGCGAAACCAACGGGTCTGGAATCGGGCCCCACCTCCGGGTTGACTCAGCTTGACCCGACGGGTTCCCTGTCTGGCTCACGGCTAGCAAATGAAAGTCCGAGTCCAAGTTATTCGACCCGTCGTTTGGTGACCCGACCCGAATATCCTCCGGCATCTCCATCTGCATCAACTCGCTTGGCTCCGCCGCCGTCGCGGCCATCATGTCCGGCGTCGACGTTGGGCAGGCGTTACGGCCTCCCGTTTCGTCTTCGGAGCCAGATTCAGCTTCGTCTTCTTCGTCATCTTCTTCTTCTTCTTCTTCTTCTTCCTCCTCGTCTTCATCCATGTCGTCTTGGTTGGGATTGGCGGCGGGTGGGTCAGCCACGGTGTACATGACGGCGGAGGAGGAGGTGGGGTTGGAGGTGGAGTGCTCCGAGAGTGCAGGCTTCGGCGGGAGAGGATGGTGGTCTATGAAGAAGCTCTTCACATGTTGGATGAAATTAAGGTCTTCTTGAACCTAAGAAACAAACATAAATATATATATAAAGGGAAAGAAAGACATGGTTGCTCAACAAGGTAACAAACAACAACTTACGAGGGAATCAAGGTTACCTTTTCCGTTGTACCAAACTCAACGACGCCGTCTAATAGAGGAATGCACACCACCGTCTGTAGTTTGCATGGCCCCAAAAATTATACAAAACAAGATTATTTACGTCATTTTTCGTTTCTTTTTTGAATTAGAAAATTATAAAATTATACATTGGAAGAATTGATACCTGTATACGAGCGCTCTAGCCGTGGGAAATTTTGCAATCATTGAGAAACCGGAGGGAAGAGAAGCTAGTTAGTATATTAATTAATTAACCTTCATCATGACGTTCAATAAAATCCTAAAGTAATTAAAAGCAACTTGTCCTTAAAGAAAAAAGAAAAAGCAACTTTTGTAACTTCTTTTAGAAGTGCAAAATTACGAATATGGATTTAAATTTTGACAAATGTATTTTATCTCCTTTTCTATTCCATTTTTTTTTTCTTCCCTTTAAAAAATAATTGCTAATCACGTAGTACTAGTAACTATGTGCTTGGTAATTAAAACTATTAGTATTAATTATGTGGTGATTGGAGCACACCTTGGCTAGAATAGCTCTTGAAAATGTTTTGCTGTCCACCTCGTTTGCACCAGCGAGCCATACATGCTGCCTCCTGGCATATGCTTTTCCCGGCAACCTTATAGCGCAACAGTCAATAAAATATGTTAAACAAAAAAACTCAAATCATTTTTAGCCAATCCTACACTACAATGATTATACTAACACAACAACAAGTTAGGAAAATTATTGACTGGTATATTAAATTTGAATTTAAGAGAAAGAAGCTTATATAAGAGAAACTAGAGTAGAATCTAATAAATATATTCAAATATATAGTTGCCACTTTAACATTTGCACCACAGTCTTAGCAATAATATAATATATATAGTAGGACATAATTGTATGCGTCAATTACTCACAGCCTGATTTGAACTCAAAGCATCAAAGTGTAGCTGAATGAACATGTCATTAATTACATTGCCAATTTTACATTAATAACTGTATAGAACCTAAGTAGTTCGTAGAACCAATTAATCAATGAGTTGCTTTGTGTAGATGATAGAGCCATTAAGTTAGTGCATCATTATTAGATTCCCTCTCCACTCAGCTTTATCAACCTTTTTCTTTGTCCTAATCCTGACAATAGCTCTAGTACCACTTCCATAATTGAGAACTAATTAGGCTTACTGAAACATTTGGTAGCACGTGCACCCATCTTCATATCTGGACCAATTGATGTTATCCTTTCCATAGGTGCATGAGCAACTTGGGAGAATCTAGCGAGCTATAGAAACAGCTTTCATCCAAACTCGGAGCCCTAATATGTTTTCCCAAATGAAAATGGTGATTGATTGAGAGAGAGAGAGAGAGAGAGAGAGAGAGAGAGAGAGAGAGAGAGAGAGGGGAAGAGGGAAGTGTGATTGAGAAAACTTCCGAATGCAGGATGCTATTTAAGTAGTGGTAGTTTTTTTGCAGCTATCTTACTTTGAAATTTGAACGCATTAAATTGTCTAGTTTCTCGAAGTAAGCAACTCCCTCTAGCTGCCGTTTCTCGAAGCATATAAATACTCGACCAGCTCAGCAAATTTTTAATTGATAGAATGGTCCAAATTTATTCCATGACCCCTCAATTATAGGCTTGTCAGATTGACAAATTTACGAAATCTAACTGTTCTTCATTTACTCCTGAAAGAAGAATCTGAGATACCCTCGAATCCAGGATGAAGAAATATTAAAGACCCTTAGCTACCTTTTTGGAAGAGACAAATTGATACTATACGTGAAAAAACTTCCAACAAAAAATTAAAGTTAAATTCAAATTAAATTAGTAAATGTTTTACCGTCTCTTCTCTTAATTTTTCAACATAAAAAAAGAACAACATCCTTTCAAAATAATATGCACTTGGTTTTCACTTTGTATATCCAGTTTCTTGCTAAGGCTTCATAAATTCGAAGCTTCTGATATTGCATTTAAACTATACTCACGACAGCATGTGCGCCAGTTCTGCATGCCTCACCGAAAAGCATTTCTCACCGGGGTAAATTGCATTTATACTACATTGACAACTAGTAGCCAAGCTCTTTTACGAGAAAATGATTTAACGTCTTTAATTTTCTCCAACAAAAGAAAGGAAGGAGTTTGATTTCAAAAGCTAAGTAGCACATTTGGCAAGTTATTAAATTTTTGCAGCTCCTAATACTATTGCATTTAAACTCACAAGTCACAATATAGCTAGCCTCTACCTTTCTCTTTCACTCAGTAGTGACTTGACTAAAGCTATCTCTCCACTTATCTTCAAAAGGAAACATGAACATTTGGAATCAAACTATTTATATAAAATGTCCTATCTTATACAAGGATTCATAACATCACATATAGTTCAAGATTTTAAAAAAAGAGTGTTAAAGAATTGATTAATGTAATTAATTAACTTGACTTACCCGACACCAGGAGGAAATGAGAATGAGACACACATCAAATAGAACCATTCAGATTCTGTTAGGTCCTCCGGCGACAAGGCGGCACAAGGCCGGCGAGTTGGCGGGTTTGTTTCTCCGGCGGACAACGATTCATAGAGTTCTCTAAGTTGCTGGCTTCTTTGGAGAGACGCCTCCTCAGCACTAACCTCCATTGGTTGCACTGTCTTCCGAGTCTTAATTGCCCCATTGTAGTATCCATCACCCCAAACAAGAATCCTAAATCAACATATACACATATATATGACCTTATTACTAAGACTAATTAGAATCATTAGAGAAATAATCTTATGGATATTTTATGTAACTAGAAAGTTAGGAAGTAAATTAATTAATATATACATACACTTGTTGTGGACAAAGTTGCCAGAAGAGGCTATAAGTCCACTGAACAGATTGCACCGCAGCCTGTAACATGTCTTGAAGCCTACTACCTAGTGGCGCAGCCATATATTGTTCCCAACAGGGTTTTGCATCAGCAGGCTTTCGGTTACTTCTCTGCAATCATATGTATCTTCTTTCAAAATAACTATCCTGAAGTAGGGAAAGTGGAAAAAAATTGGGTTCTGGGTTTTTACGACAAGTAAATAGACAAAGAAAAGGTGTATTTGTGTGGATCTGAGCTGAAAATCAAACCATTAAATCCCAAATAGAGAAAAGAAGGTAAGGGGAAGTTCCAAGGAGAGAGGGAAGCAGACTTGCAGATATGTGTGTGCGTATTGTGGGTAGGAGAGAAAGAGAGTTTAAAAAGGTGTATGACTTTAAGGTGGATGCGCGAGAGACCCAAGAATTGCCATGTTTGTAAGATGAAGATATCGATAATGTTTGTTGGATAAGTAAAGATCAAAGAGAGAGAGAGAGAGAGAGAGAGAGAGAGAGAGAGAGAGATAGGGCTTAGATCATGGGTAGAAGGTGTTTTGACTGGTTGGTCTACCAGACAGTTTTGGCTATATGCTTCGTGTGTTGTGGTTTGTTAGTTGTGTCAATATTTAGACCGCCAGCTGGTTTTGTGGTTTGAGAGAAATTTCAAGGATTAGTTGGTAGTTAAGATGTAAGCACAAAGACCACGAGAGATTAATGTGTACCTTTTTCAGACTATTATATATGCTTAGCTAATATAATTAGAGCATGACACATTGACACGTGAGTGAATTGTATAATTATAGAAATTATTCTTCATCCCAATCCGGGTTTAGCACAATAACCCTTTATTCAGGGTTCAAATCTAGATTCACCTACGCTGCAAATATTTCCATCCTTGTATCCATGATGTCCAACAGATCCGGTATTTAATGCCAAATTGCACTTTATAAGAATATTTTGAGAAACCATGCAAGTAGGTCTCCCTCTCTGCTGAATATTCAGCCAAGGGGATTTCCATTTTTAACATCCGGGAGAACACAGTGTAACCTAGTGTTTTCCCGGGAGAACATAGTGTAATTTGTGAAAATTTATAAAAAAAAATTGTAAATATAACCCTCCTCTATATTTACATGGGAAAAAGTGTAACCTAGTGTTTTCCCGGGAGAACATAGTGTAATTTGTGAAAATTTATAAAAAAAAATTGTAAATATAACCCTCCTCTATATTTACATGGGAAAAAGTGTAACCTAGTGTTTTCCCGGGAGAACATAGTGTAATTTGTGAAAATTTATAAAAAAAATTATAAATATAACCCTCCTCTATATTTATATGGGAAAAATTATTCTCTTATTACACGATATAAGTTTTCTTTCCTACGGATCCTTTAATAATCGTACAACTTTTTCCTTTTAATTTTTTTGATAAGAGATGAGACTCATATCTTTATTTATTTTTGTCCACTCTCTCTCCTCCATGATCTATCTCTTTCTCTCACTTAAAATGATACAACTTGATATCATTTAAAATGACAGATACTTTTACCATAAAATTATTACTTCAATACTCCAAGTCATACCTAATTTTAGAGTTTCACCATCCAGATGAGATTCAGATATCCAACTTACATTCCGACTCAGTTCAGAGGGAGAATCATCAATTGTCCTTATTTTATAAAACTATTTATTAATCTATCCTATTTTAAAAGTTATTTACCAATATACCTTAATTTTATTAGAGTTGCCCTTTTTTTTTACTCTGTAGGTCTCATAAATATAACATAGTGCCAAATGACATGTGACTGACACGTGTTATTTTTATGAGACCGATATGGTAGAAAATAATTAACTTTGATTAAAGTATGATAAATTAATAAATTGTTTTTAAAATATAGTAAATTGATAAATAATTTTAAAATAAGAGCAATTTAGTCATTAAACCCAGCTCAAAAAACATTCAATTAAAATTTAATATTATTCAATAAATTTCAAATTAAATATTAATTGTTTGAGAATATCAAGAGTAAATTATAATTTCTCCACATAGTCCAGCATTAATAATATTGTATATCCAAAGAAAGAATTAATTTCTGAATCTATTCTTCTCTATAAAATGAGATATGACATTCGTAATTTTTTTCATTTGAATTTTAAATTCAATTTCATAAAAACAAGTTCAATACAAATTTTAAATTAATTACATATTTTTTATAATCTTAAATGTTTTTTAATATATATTTTAAAATTTTATCTAAATTAGTTATACATTATTCTCTTACAACAGTTTAAAATATCTAGATAATACAATAGTTTCCTCTGGTACGTCATTGGCCATTGGCGGGAAAGGTCAATTTATTAGTTGTTCTGCACTTCTTTTGGTCCAATCATCTATGCTGACATGACTAACAGGTCAAAGCCCATCTTTTGGGCTGTAAAGAAACTGAATGCTGTGAGAGATATTGATACGCATACTTTCTTTCTTTCTTTCTTTGTTCTTTGTTCTTTTTTTTCCCCCCTCTTACCCTTTTGACAGTAAATTTGCTTTGAAATAATAATACAAGAACAGAAAATAATTATGTTCGGGACCACTCGCCATGACAAGTCATGGACTAGTTCCTAAAGGTTACTTTTAGACCCAATACGTGATGATGAAAAGGTAAAGCCATCGGTGGCTTTTGTCTCCGTTTCATATGCAAATGCGATGGCCTTCTTTTCACATTTGAAGGTGGTTGAATTTGGAGGAGTGCAATTCATTTTGCACGTGCAAGGAAAAAGGGCAGCAACATATTTACGCATTCGTTGTTAGCCTATAAATTAAAGCATTTCCCAAATTTCAAATCATTCCAACATCCCAAGTTTAAGTGAGTGTTTCTTAGCATACCCACTTACTGAGGAAAATACTAAAGTGTTTTTAAGTGTTATTTTGAATGAAATATATTCTCCTACTATAAGAGAGAGTGATATTGGTCTCTCATTATATTTTAGAGAGAAGCGTAATTTCTTCCACATAATAAAAAATTTCTTTGATTTTTCTAATTGGATTTTTCACGTAAATCTTGTGTGCCACTTCAATTGGCGTATTTGTTGCTTTCTTGATCGGTGGAATCAAGATAAAGTTAATTACATCGTTGGTGTCTAAGAAAGTGAGTGGTTATTTCATTAGTCACTGTTGCATAGCACGAAGAGACTCCCATTGATTTACATTTACCTAGCCAATTCGTGCGGTTAACAATGTCTTGAAACTCTGATTTCTCTTAACTCTATTTTAGCTGCATGATACTCTATTACTTAACAATGGTATCAGAGCTGATCAATTACTAGTTACTATTCACACTGCGCTGCTCTTCATAATTACTATCCACGATGAAATAGTGTAACCAGATGCAATTAATATTCAGAGTAATGTCGACACATTGGCGGCAAAATTTGAGGTTGAGAAGTTCAATGGGAGTAATTTTTCCCTTTGGAAGCTAAAGATGAAGACAATCTCCAGGAAGGACAATTGCTTAGCTGCAATTGAAGGCAGACCCAAAAAACTAACATAAAAAATATGAAAAGAACAACGTCATTGCCAATTTGTACCTCGCAATGGCGGATTCAGTGTTGTTAAGTGTTGCTGAAAAGAAGACAACAAGGGAAATTTGGGATTTACTCACCAAATTGTACGAGGTTAAATCTCTTCACAATAAGATATTATTAAAGAAGAGACTCTATACTCTTTGAATAAGTAAGTCCATAATGATAACAGACCACATCAACAATCTGAATACGTTGTTTTCTCAACCTACATCATTGGATCACAATGTTGAAGAAAGTGAACGTGTCGAGCTTCTATTCCAAAGTCTACCCGATTCATATGATCAACTTGTCAACAACATAACAAATAAAAGGTTATCAAACAACATGTCGTTCAATGATATCGCTGCTGCAATTCTTGAAGAAGAATCCAAACGGAAGAATAAGGAGGATATATTAAAAAATTCAAAGCAAGCAGAGGTTCTAATGATGACAAGAGGAAAATCAATGGAACGTCGCTTGAGTGGGAGTCAAAATCAGAGTAGATTAAAGTCAAGAAAAAGAAAAAATGTAAAATGCTACCAATGTGGTAAGAAAATGAACTTTAAGAAAGATTGTTAGAGTAATAAGAAAAGTACAAATAAGTCTAATGAAGCAAGTAGTTCTCAAGGATGTGTTTCTAGTACCTCTGGTGAAGGAGAAACCTTATATAGTGAATCAGCAATCAGTTCTAAAGGTGAAAGACAGCTCATTGATGCTTGGATAATGGATTCGGGAGCAACATAGCACATGACTCCACTACGAGACTGGTTTTGCACTTACAAACCTGTCTCTGAAGGATTTGTGTTCATGGAAAACGACCATGCCTTAGAGATTGTCGGAATTGATACTGTCAAGATAAAAATGTATAATAGTATTGTTTGCACAATTCAAGGGGCATGACATGTGAAGGGCTGAAAAAAGAATCTAATGTCTATTGGACAATTAGACAAACTTGGGTGCAAGACGCATATTGAAGGAAGGATCTTGAAGGTTAGACATATTAGTAGCTTCATCCAGTTAAGAATAATTAACAACAATGTGGCATCTCAAACTAGGCTACATGTCAGAACGAGGCTTGAAGATTCTTGCAGAACATAATCTCCTTCACGGGCTTAAGTCGGTAAGCTTGCCTTTCTGTGAGCATTGTGTTACAAGTAAACATAATAGATTGGAGTTTGCTACGCCAACTGCTAGGAGCAAACATATATTAAACTTGATTCATTTTGATGTGTGGGAGTCACCAGAAATGCATTATTACGATTGAATTGTATATTATAGGGCTTAATTGGTGAAAATCCCGAGTTTCGGGTGAAAATGCACTTGAAGGGCAAAATGGTAATTTGACCATTATTGAACCCTAAAATCATGAAATGATATAATTAGATATTATTTGGTGAAAATAATGATGGATTTGGATTCAGAATAAAATTTGAAAGTAGATAGGCACTTTTCTGAAAAATTGATGAATAGTGATTTTTAGCGTATGAAATACCGCAGTATCATTTTTCAAAGAGACTCAAAAATCATATAAATATCATGGGAGTGGATATATGTTGAAATTAATGTTTAGAACCAAGAGAAATAATTACTTGATGAATTTTGATGATTTTGAAAAAATAAAGTGAGTTTGTGAATAGGGGCAAAAGTGAAATTATGCAAAAGTTGCCCAAATCTTTTTAATACTGTATTGTGACATAATTAAATTATAATTATGCATCTTGAATTTATGAAAATTCCTAAGTCTTGAAATTAATTTAGATTTCAAGAAGATTAATTAAATA